AATGCTATCCACCACAAACAGCACTAATAAGCATGGAGAAATAGGCTTACTATCTGCACTTGGCAGGCTCCAAACTCAAAGTTCATGGCAAAATGCTGAGTCAAAAATAGGAAATTTCATTTCTTTGCTTGAGATGTTTTCTTTCTAGCTGCAGACCTGGTCAGTAACCAGAACTGGTCTTCAGATGAGGTTCTCAAGAAGTGTCTGGTCTGTAACACCACATACTGAAAATAAACCTTGTGTGGGAGGATAGCTACATCTACAGATGTGTTCCTTAGTTCTAAATTTTCATGACCAATGACAGAAAAATATGCTCCAGTTTATGCCCAGGAACTAATGAACTGATGAGAAATGATAGTGTTTCCAATAAATGTAATTATTCGACCAGCTTCTGTATGATTTCTATTTCAATTTTCAGTAGAGAATCCTTTTAATTAAAGCAGACGGGTTAGATTTGTTCTGCTAGCTGGGCATCATCAGTGGAACTGTTGATGGAGAACCACCTATCGAGCAGCCAACTTCGTGCCTGGAGATACATAACCCCAGTCACCACCTGCAACTGCCACCACAGCAGCGCTGTGGGCAGGGCAGTTTGTCACCACCAAGTGAGGAACAACCACAAGACCCCACTCTGACTTGCTCAGCCGTGGGTATATATGCGACATCAGCAGGCTGAGGAATCAAGTCAGGTTTAATTGTATTATCTGATTTTATTAAGCCTTTCCAGTGTTCCTAAAATGGCGTGGCTTTTTTTTTTTCTGTATTATCTGAAATGCAAAACACATTTGCTTGAAATTAGAGCAAGTTCATGTACATATTCAGACTTCAGATAAGGACCTCGATATGTCTTCTGTGTTTAAATTTAGACCTTGGAAAATATTTCCATAAAACATTTCTTTTAGTTTTCATTTAAAATCTATATCCCCTTTTTCGCTACATTAGAGGAAAATGGTAATTTTATGTTAATTGGGTTTGTTCATGGAAATAGTAGTCTAAAAGACTATGGAGAAAGAAGAAATTTAAGCTTTAATTATAAAAATGTTGGCATCCAGGCCAGGACAGTGCTGCAGATAGATGGAAGTAGAAGAGCTGCTGGGGACCTGCGTGTCACCAGCCACATTAGGCTGGGGCAAAGACTTTTTTCAGCTGCTCTTTTGTATAAGGGGATGCATTTCTGTATTTGTATCCTGGCATTTTCATGCACAAAAGGGAAAATCTAGCCAAGAAAAGAGGAGGCCAAAATAAATGTAATACACTTGTTGTGAATGATTTAATCTTGCTTTATGAATCTTTTGTTTTGGATGTTTTCTCACTTCTAACAGGCCTAAATACGTCTGGAAGCTGCATTCTCATATGCTACCAAGGTAGCATTTCAGTAGCAGCCTTGCCTKCTGCTGAGAAAATAGTTGTTAAGAAATCATATAACAACCACTGCTGATCCCTAAAGGGGATTGCTTCTCCCACTAGCTATTATCTAAATTGGATGTTTTCTGCAAAGACGACCTGAATAAATAAAATAGCGCTAGCAACACAGGCATGCTAAGGATTCAAAGATTCTGCTTCCTCTCCTCTATTGTAATGCTAGCGTAACTGCACTGAACTCGGTAAGGTTATTCTGGGTTTAAAAGTAAGCCCTAGAGCCTCAAACACTTGCAGGAAAGAAGCTGTCCTCTCTCTCCCATTTGAAGCAGGAGGAAGGCCGTGGAGCTGTTTTATTTACATAAGCTGTCCACCAGATGGAGAGAAGGCCTGGAGGGCACAAAAGGACTCCCTTCCCCCATCTCCTCTGGAAATGATGGAGATGGCTCCATTTCACAAAAGWGTGTGTCTTACTTCTTCCCATGGCATCATTAGAGATTTCAGCTTTCTTAGAGCTGGAGGTGAGAGCAGGCCAGGAGGCCCAGGAGGTCCATCGGACCCGCACTGGGAGGCAGCAGGTGATGGAGGATGGAGGAAGGGATGTTTGCCTGTTAGATATTGTCACTTCAACATCTTCCTTACAGCTCCAGTTTCTATTCATGTAAATGTTCTCCTTCTGTGTGTGCCAGAGTTGATTTTTTTCCACCTTTTCTAAATATAGTTGCCTCTTTTTCATATCACCATTCTTGGTATTTTTATGGGGTTATGTTGTCTTTGGAGGGCACCAAGGATGGCTGGTCAGTGATCCCAGCTATTCTAAGTGAATTTGAACTTGTCACATTAATTATCTTTAGGAAAGACCTGAGATATTTGTTCTGTTGCAGTTCTCTAGCTCTGGTGCTTGGTCTCATGGGTTAAGGGCTCTGAGTTTAGGAATCAGGACAACACTTAATTCTTGACTGACCACATTCTCCTTGCCCTTTTTCCTGTGACGATTTCAGTAGAGATCAGCAGAAAATTTTGTATTACAAAATTTGTAATATAAATGTGAGTGTTTACAAATGTGAGTGTTCACAAAATTCTGATTCTTAAATATTAGGGGTTTTTGATATMTTTCTTTTCCATTTTATTTTTGTCAACTCATCTGTCTGAGATCTCTGCTGCTGGAAAGAAGCAGGATGAAGAGTTTYGTCTAATACACCGTTAAAATTCCATAAACAAGACAGAAATCTAGTAGCAGGCAGGGAATCTATACTGCAGCTATAAAACTTCTCTGAAAGAATTGCAGCAGCAGCTGGGGAGCACTAAAGACATTTTCTTTACCTACAAAGTAGCATTTACCAGCCTAGGTTTACTTGATCTTCATTTACATTAATATAATCATAATTATATTTTGAAGAGGAAACACTATGGAAACTTTTTTGTTCTCTGCAATAGTTATTCTTCCTTTCTGGCAGAACTCATGTTTTGAAGAGACAGAAACATACGCTATAACTCATAATTGGGTTCAATATGGAAACTTTCAGGTAAAAGATTAGTTACAAATATTTCTGAATAATAATAAAAAAAAATATTACAACTACTGTCATGTTGTCAGGCTTAGCCCAAACTGTAACAAACCAATATGAAGTGAAGAGAGATGTCCTGAGAACAGCTGCAGGATGCAGATCTACCAATATGGCAAATTTACGGAGCAATTTGAGATGCTGAGAGGAGAAGTGGCATGAGATGGACAGTGCTTTCAGTGCTTTTTCTGATGGCATTTAGCTATCGCAGAGGGGCGATAAAAATTACATGTCAGAATGGGATTTTTAGTCTTGGTAAGTTCATTGAGTAAAAAATCTGGGCATTTGGTTTCAGGAAAGTCATATTTTACCTTAGGCCCCAAATCTTGCAAAATGCTTAGCTCAGCATCAGGCATAGCACTAGCCAGATTTTCAGTTTTATTTTTCAACCACATGGTGAATCAAATCACAGACAAGATCAGGTAAAAGCTGGAGAAATAGGCTGGAGAGCAAAGTGTGAAGAAAAAAAAAAGAAAAAAGAAAAAAAAAGAAGATGCTTATTTATTTTAAAGTGCTTTCTGTTATATTCTAAGAGTATTTGTAACTGAGGATTTGTAATGGTGAGTATAGAGCATGGGAGATCCTCCACGTTAGAATTAAGGGCACCCCAGTCTATGAATGCAAAATTCACTGSGCTGGTTAGTGCAGGGAGGCTTTACATGCAGAAATATAACTTGCTTTTACTGCATTACACAGCCTGTGGAGCTCTGCTGTCAGGTGTCCATCCACACTCTGTGCGAGCACAGGCACACCGGGCCTGCGCATGTACACGTGGTGCTGCTGGGTCCACTGGGGCCCCTGAAAAGTCACAGCAAATTCTTCCCCAACGCCCCCTCCGGGTGCTGACAGGTGCAAGAGATGCTGCTTTGCCYTTTTGCATCGCTCCTGGCTGCGCTTCACCACGATTAGACGTTCAGTGGTGCAACTGGGTGCWTGCAGGTAGGTCCATGCGCATGGACCTTGCAGTCCCCTCATTCTCCAAGAAGAGGCCTGGAACTGAAATCACACTTTAACAGCAGCTACCAAAAGGATTTGTCTTTTCTTTTATTACGTATTTCAAGTTGTTGGTGTACATTGTATTAACTGTGGTGTGTTAGCAGAGAGAAACAACAGAAAGAAGTGAAGCTAATCCATGTGAAAAGGCTGCCTACTTACCAGCAGCTTCATCCTTAATCCATTGTTTCATTTTTCACTTCCCTCTTGCCAGCAATTATATGTCACCGGTGACTGGTGTAGCACAAAGTTGGAGATGAGGGCTGATACTTTACCTGAGAAGTAGTACCTCATACTGTATATCATTTCCCAGTGTATAGAATTTGGAAAACTGGTAATTTCTTGTTTCGTTTCCAGCATAATTTACTGTACTGTAGGRATTGTTCTGTGAACTTCTGATGAAAGCTGTATGTGCACACTGCCTTACTGCTTTGTTTTGGGGTTAGCCTTTCATGTTTCACATCTAAAGACTTGCCTTGATCCTGTGTCCTCTCTTGAGTAAGGTTAGATTTCCAAACTAATTGTAGTTGTTGGTCACCTCATTTTGCAGCTTTACCAAAGGTACTAAGATTTATTATTTTCCAGAAAATATTTCCAGATATTAATAATAAAGCCCCAAAGAGAGAGATCTGTAATTGTTTTGGCCTAAACTAAGTTTTGTGCAATGAGCAAGGCTTAGGACAGTTTTTAAACCCAAGTGAACTGCTGATTTATGTATACTGATAATAATAAATATGCATAAATTATAAATAAGTAATTACAGCTCCCTTGATGCAAACTGAACACTTAAGAATGAAGTCAGCAATATTGCAAAGTGTGGTGATCGTGGAGCCCCGTGCACACTGTATTCCAGGCAACAAGCAGTAGCTGTTAAATCCAGGATCAGTATTTCTGCTCCTGAATCATTCTTTATAGCTAAGCAGGCAGAGTTACACAGTAAGCAAAAAATAGAAGAATAAAAAGAAATGTTTCATCAAAGGGGCATTTTATTGCTACTGCAGCTTAGACATCAGCAAATAGTAGAATATGGCTCAAGTAATAAGTAATCACTTGGTTCTTTGTGTAGCTGTTGGACCCTGACCACGTCCCTGAAACCTGGTTTAGTTGCCGCATTGGCATCCCACGTGCCCCTGAAGTGGAAGGTGTCCACGTCTTCAGCCCCTGGTAGGTGACACATTTCAGTGCATTGTGTGATGTTTTCCAGGCCATGGAAGCCCAGTTCTCATGCCAGCGTCTGTCCTTATGAGTCCAAGCGATCCAAGCCTCCCGGAGCTTGCTCACCGTCCATCCTGCTCAGGGAAGCATTCCAGATGAGAGTGGGAGTGAGGGCTGGGAACTTGCCATCAGAAACATTTTCCAGGAGAAAAGTCTCATGACATAAAATAAGAAACATCCCAGCTGAAAACGCAGCAGAGTGCTCCCTATCCAGCCTCTCTGTTGGACTGGTAGCACGTACAGCCTTCAGATTTCTTGGCMTGGTCAGAGTCTGTCAGGAAATTTCTGTTACTGAGGCACAGGGGACTAACCCGGCACTAACGTGTTCCCTGACCCTGGAGTATTTTGGGAAGCTGAGCATTTCTGGTTCATTGCTGGGCTTTCAGAGAATTTTAAGGCTCTTGAGGACATTCGGTAACACTGAACCAGAATGGGGTTTTGATGGCTGCAAAATGAAAGTTTAGTGTTTTCATTTCTTGTACATTTTCTTTCCACAAATATATTTAGAAAAAAAAATCCTGAATTTCCAGTCTCTGGCTGGCTGCAGTCTAGACCATTACAGTTTCTTCAACTGTTTTATATAGACACCATAACCTTCTATCATGGTACCTTTGACATCTAGTAGAGGTTGTTCAAGCCCAAATACCTTTAAAAAAACCCCTATCTTTCCATGCCCTAATGCATTGAGGGCACTTTGGTAGGTGGAGGATGAGGCATTAATTAAATTGCCACGGTAATATATATACTATTTTAATTACATTTTGAATGGCCTATTAGCTGTAAAATTAGATTAGAGGATGCAATTAAAAACATAAATCTACTTAAAAAATACAAGATATGCATTGTTGCTTTGGAACTAGAATTGACCACTTGGAATAAAATGTGTCAGCCACATCTCTTGCTTTTTATTGAGTAATTTTGAAAATATTTAATTAGGATTAAACTTGAAAGATTCTTCCTATTAAATAAACTGAAAAAAAAAAAAAGTATAATGCAACATAGCCAGTAGCCATGCACTGGTGTAAAAGCTAAAATACGTAAGGTGTTTCAGCTGGGATGCTGTTGTGCCAGGTATTCGTATTTTGAAAAGGTTTTGAAGCACCTCATTAAAAATAATGAAAGTTGCCAGGTGCCCAGCARCTCATGAAACGAAGGACTGAGTCCAAGCTATTTCAACTTTATATTTTAAATAGGCTACTGTTGTTTTTTACACAGATTTTCAGTAAATAAGCTAATACTTGTTAAGCAAACTAATTCTACAAGCTATTTAGCTGAATAAACTAAAGGATACTTTAAATAATACATTACATATGAATATATTTACCATGGATATGCTATAAGTTATACAAGATAGAAGTAAGATGTTTTAAGTTTACTGGAGGAGAGCTATTTTATCTCTGCATTAACAACTCTTAAACATAATTTCATCTGAACATTTAATCTAAACTGATTGTCTTCTGAGGTGATTATATGGTTTAAGTTTTCTGTTTTTTYYTTTTTTTTTCTTTTTGTTTTCGTTTTGCCAGCTGGACCGTGCATTTCCCAGCAGCTTATTTTGCTGGTATTTGATTTGTGGCGATACAGATCATATACAAGCTGGCTTGTTTTTTTTAATGAACTGAATGTGTTGTRTAATAGAATTGCTAGGTTTGTGCTAAATTACTGCTTTGGGACTCATTATTGTGAGATGTTATCTACTTTGAACTGGCTTATTTTATCACAAAGAAAGAAATTGAATTTGCTTAAGATGGCAAATGCAGCAATAGATGGGTTGGTTGGTGGGTGTTTTGGGCACCCTGTTGAGCTGATATATATTTTATCTGATCTAATTCACATTCTACCCAGAGATGCGTACACCCACACATATGTCAGAGTCCATATAAAAAAACCTAAAGCAAACAACAACAGCAATATGTTGTTAAATGGTTAATTGGTGCTCTTTAGACGTCGTTTTTGACCATATGAACTGTAAATTCGTGATCCTTTCCTTAGGGCGTTTTGTTCCGTGCATGCAGGGGCTAATGATGCGTCTCTTTCTGCGCATATTTAGCTTTTGCCTGCAATTTTTTCAGCACATATACAGAGGCAGTTATTAGGCATTGAAGCTAAAGTGTTTCCATCATGGTCCAAGTGCATCAGGATAAATTGTTTAAAAGCCAAAAAATCATGTTTCCTTTGACAATTGCAGTTTCGGAAGAGAAAGCCTCTGTGTGTAATTTTTGGTGGGATTTTTTTGCTTTGAAAAACATGATGGCCTAATGCAATAATATATTTCCCAATAACATATGGGAAAATTAAATAATAGAGTTTACCAAAATTATTTCAGCTACTCTGGGCGACAATGTATGAAAACACTGCTGTACATTAGCAGAAGCCATGGGCAAATGATGAACATTTCTTCTACCTTAGTGATCTAAATCAATGAAACAGGGGTTCAATTTAAAGATGATTGTAGGGAAGTGCTGAAGGAATGTAAACTGCTTATAAATTGGTGGCAAACGCTTTCATTTGGCTCGTCCTTAGCTGCCTGCTACAATGCTGGCTTCTATAAATACATTCGACTCCGAGGAACAAATCCTGCAGTGGGGTCGGTTAGTAAGAGAGTCCTTACATGCATTTACCCCCACTCAGGGAAAGCTCCTGGTGCTGAAAGACACGGAGGGCTTGTGTGGATAAGGCCCCCTCTGGGTGTCCCCCGGCCACCCAGCGCTTTGCAGAGACACCRGTGCTCTGCAGCGGGGAGCTTTATTGATTCAGAGCTGAAGTAACACACATAGCTTATTCTTTCAAGAATACGCCCTCCCTCCAAAACAAAGCCAATGTGCAACAATATACATTTTTCACTCATCTTAGTAACCCTTTTTAAATGCCTTTTAAAATACTTTTTAAAGTTCTCCATGGTCCCATCACTTAGAGTAGAGATAGAAGAAATACTAGCTGTTTGCTGTCTGCATATCTTTAATATTTAGAGTCGACTGTAATGGTACAGCTGATACTGAGTGTAGTTAATTTGCTCTTGTTGAAATAACCTTTAAAATATCATTCCCTTAAACAGATTTTTTTTTTTTTTGCATATTGATGAGTGCTGGGTCCCAGTCATATCCAGTGTGTTTTTTTATATCCTCTCTGTTGTGATTTGAAGAGGGGGACAAATCTGGTAAGAGATGAATCCCCTTGTGTTCCAGTCGATCCTCAAATGTTAGAGGGGCTGGCGACGGCTGGACTCATCTCTTAATAGGGATAGCAAATACTATATATATAATATACTATATATGCTATATATAACTATAGGCCCAACTCTGGCAGTACTGGGTTCATGGACAGTCAGTTGATTGTAGGTCTGATCTTCTACAAAACAGGAGACTGAGTTCACAAATAACATGATCAGCTATAGGCCCGACTCCGGCAGTGTGGGGTTCACAAACAGTCTGTCAACTGTAGGTCCGATCACCTTCAGAACAAATAGTCCAGTTCATGAATAGCACAATTTATTCCAAGGCAATATTTACAAAACAGGTTTCGGATCAGTACAGGAAATTCTCTACTACAGTGTGGGATTCTTAGCTAGTGCCTAGTGTACAAATGCACAATCATCACTCACCCCAGAAGATGGGAGAGGGCTCTCAGCCTTGAGGAGTCTCCCCAGGTGATGTCCTGACCGCAAGGGAGGAAAAGGGTTCAGCCTGTTAAGTGATCCAGAAGTTATGACGGAGTCTTCCCTCTCTCCTCTTCCTTCCTCAGTCTTCCGTCTTCCTTCTTCCTTCTTCCTTCTTCCTTCTTCCTTCTTCCTTCTTCCTCCCATTTCCCTTCTCAGTTCACCTTTTATATATTTTCTTTTACATTTAGGTGGAGCTTGTGACTCTAGTCATACTTACTTTTGTTAYTGATTGGTTTAAAAAGCCTCTCGAGTTAATTGAAAATCTACAGAGCATGCTCAGTGAGGAGGGGTCATTCCTTGGAGGCGGGTAACTTCTGCGATGGGGTTATGTAGTGGTATTATAATGAGATTGGAATGAGGAAAAGTTTGAGCAAAGTCCATCAGATGGGACTGATCTGCCACCATTGTTGGCCCAGCACCAGACATCTTATCGTAATATGTGGCTTATCAGCTGCATGGTACGACCAGGTTGCCACCTCTGCAGGGAGTACAGCAGAGTTTGGCCGCGGTGTCTTCGCTCTGCTCCAGTCTCCATTCACTCATCAGCTGCACGGCACCACCAGGCTAYCACCCCACAGGGAAGTCAACAAAGTTTGGCCATGGTGTCTCCATTCTGCCCCACTCTTCGGTTGCTCCTACTAGTGCGTGCTAGGCGGGCAGATTGTGTTGCCAAGGGAATCATGGAGAAGCAGATTCCATATATGCCAACCATCCCAGAACTGGTAACTCTCTCTCACCTCAAGCAAGCCTCTGTACTGCCATAACCTCTGTTAGGCCCTAGTTTTTCTCTGATTTCCCCTTTCTCAAGCAATTTTCCCACACTCTCACCTCATTTTAGCACCACTATTCAACAGACAGAATATACCATATAACGTAAATTTTTACCCACTTTGCTTTCCTCTCTTAAGGAAGTTCCAGTCTTGCATGACCTTGGTTCTAAAGACCTTGATTTACATTACATTAACAGCTTTRTGGAGTAACTTTATAGTTTAGTTTGCTTTATTGATGAAAATCAAAACAGTTTTACTGACAGAATTTACTATTCTTTTTTTACAATTGTTTTTGGCATATGCTCATATTTTGGCTTTCATGTCACTGTTACTAGTAATTAGTTTGCTTCCAATATTTTTAATAGAGGAGGAGCATGTGATATTTTTCTTTAGTAGAGACTGAATAGATATGAGATATCTCTTACAAGGGGGTGAATGCTGTAGGCATGATTAATGGCATCATCATGTAACATAATTTACTTAGGACTTATACAACTGATAAAGTGTCATGCACTTCTGCTAAACTGAAATCTAAGTGAACTGTATTTCAGGTTTTTATATCCTCATTTCTGTCTTCTGTAAAGATATTACTGAAAGATTCATACAAGTGTCTTTATAGGCTCAGACTATAAGCAGTGAAATTTAAATCARTTCTTTTTATCATGAAGCAGAGTTTGTCTGCATAAAAAATTAGTGATTATAATTCTGATAAAAGAATAGATCAGTTCACCAAATACATTCGTTGCAGACTGAAATTGTGCCTAGAATAGATCTTTAAGAATGAAAAGAAGTTAAGTTTAAAATAAATAAGTCTATCTTTAAGAATGAAAAGAAGTTAAGTTTAAAATAAATAAGTCTCTCCTTGAAAAGAGATAAATTAAATATTTGCAGCAGATAATGCCCGCAACAAAATGGTTCTGTAAGTAGGCCCTGGACCTTACATATGTCAATTAATTAGAGAAAGTTAGTATCTGGGTTAGGTAGGACCTCTAGTTGGCATCTAGACACTTCACTGACTTAGACTACTTAACCCAAGTTCTTCAACCATTTGAAAAATTCCATTTGATTCTTGCTTATGTTTTTACGAGAAAACAACAGTTTTGACAAAACTGTTTTCAAAACTCATTCATATAGGAAGCAGATTTTTCTTTGTTTTACYCACATATTTTTTTTCTGGAGGATAATTTTTGTGTACCTATTTTTTCCATTAGATCCTTGCATTCTGCAGAGATCTTTGATACTTATTGATACTGGGCCTCGCCGTACACATTGGCATGGTCTCCTCCACCCACCAAGAGAAACAAACTTCACACTCAAATCCCTCTGAGCCCCCTGCCGTCAGGAGCTCAAATGGAGCCCAGGTACCACCTTTCCCCACCTCCAGCCATCTCGGGCRGGATTTGGCTCACTGAATTAACTGGCTGCTCCCTCCTTGCTGCTACTGGGACAAGGGGACCTCTGAGCAAGGATGAAGAGCTGATACTTCACTTGATTTTGCTGCTGTTTATGTCCTTTTGGTAGTGTTATTGGCTTTAGACTGAGTCCTTGTACTCTTTTATTTCCTCCACCACTAAGGCAGAGCACAGACTAAGTAGCTAAGTAGCTGGTAAGTACCTAGTTTTGATTTAAGAGATTGATTCACAGAAGTAACRCTGCATAGACCCAAGTACTAATGTAGGATATTATCTAATCATTTTTGTACAGAAAAAGCCCTGTAAAAGCTATGATTCTTACTGTTTCATCAGCCTTCCACTGAAAAATGGAATGGGCTTAAAATTAAGATCCCCTTACATAACAGAAGTCATAATGAAGGGTATGGCTCATAAATTTCAATTGTTAAATTGTCGCAGTGGGAAAGGTGACTCGACATTCCCATATTTTAAGGATTTAAAATCCACACTCAACAATAATGGTAAAGAGTTTAATTATCAGCTTATGTTAAGACTCAAATACATGAGGGACATTTCCACTCTCCTTTATGTGAGCCGTAAACCTTTGACCAAAGATTTCTTCTCCCTCTCAAGACTCAAATTCTCAATGTATTTTTTATTGGGTACCTATTTGTACCACTGTATGGATGCACTTTGTCTAGAAAAATTGGATCAAGACACATAAGAAGGAGGCGAATAACCCTGGTTTAATGATTTTTGTGATGTTCATGCTTGCATGGGATTTCTTCCCTATAAGGCCTTTTGAGGGAGTTAATGGAGGCCACTCAATGACAATTAGGCAAAGCAGACAGTAGTTTTCCTCCCTCAGARGAGGAAATAGCTTGAGGTGGGTTTGAAAAAGGGAGTATTTGCCTTTTCTCTCTGACACAGAGCAATTTTTGGTGGTGCCTCGATGCATTAAAGATGGCAACATCCATAACTGAGCAAATGTTGCAGTTGCCTGTTATTCAACTCAAAACTGGTGCCTCTGATATTTATCTGTGCTGTCTAAGACTGAAAGTCCTACATATAACAGAAAGTCTCCCTATGGCATGTCCACTTTGATGGGGGGACAGTCTGTGGCTTTCTCCAGGTTTGCAGAGCACTTTCACGTGTGCGAGTGTAATATAAATAAATAGTAACGGCAATAATAATCGCGTGGCATTGCAGAAAGTGGTATTGTGTTTGTAACCACTCCTGAAAGAGAGGTAGTGAGTGATGACCCTGTTTAGCCAGACTGCTGATGCAGGAATACAGAAACTGGAAAGATATCAAGCAGCCTGATTTAAGACTTGGAGAGAGTACAGAGCTGCGAGATTGATAGTACAGAAAGGAATCTTTTGGTTGAGGTCCATGGCCTGCATCAGAGCTTCTGGGATTGATAGCACACAGCACTATCAATCTCCCAGCTCCAAATGGGACGACTATTCGCCATGAAGAATGGGCCATATTAAATACCCTGACATGCACTAGATTGAGAACTGCAAAATGACTGAGGAAGAGTACATGTTTGTAGAGATAATACAGTGCTGATTCTTCATATAGTTTGTTGTTCAGCAAAAAAAAAAAGCCTCAGTGGCTATTCCAGGCTCTGCTCCTGGAAGCTGCAAGTCATGCTGGAAATGATAACAATAAAAAATGCACAGAAAGTAGGGAATATGTAGGGGAGAGTGGCTACTTCTATATGTATATGTATATATTTGCATAGAAAATAAGCAATATAAGCTTAATATGATCTGGTTATTTYTTTCTATTTCTGTTTGCTTGGATATTTTGRATGTTATATCCTGGCCATTTTCATGATGCATTTTCTTCCCAGAAAATGATGATTCTCATTCTCTACCGTTTCGTATCTTGTGCTCTGATTTTCCTGGTGTTAAGAGGAACCCTCATGAACTGGGTTTCATGAACTTGTGTTCATGGGAGCAAATTTTGATTTAAATAGACATGTTTTACTGCAGGGGGATGGACTTATCTGCACAATTTTGCTTAATTTTATTGTTTGATGGATTTATTTAATATCAAAGGACAATATTAATATTGTCCTCTAACAATCCTATGTGTTCCTACTATTGCATGAAAAAAGCATACCTTACTCCTCCAGCATTTCCAGGATGTGGAAATCACTTTCTTTCCTACATGCCTTAGCAAACGCTGCTGCTTGCAGTGCTACCAGATGTGTCGTGAAATGATTGGGAAGCCCTCGTGAGTGAAATGATCCACGYAGTGGTGATGCCCAGGAAAACCATGAAGGGACTCAGCCTGAGCAAGAAGAATGGTCGATGCCTTCCAACAGCAGGGACACGTATGAGCAGCAGAGATGCACCCAGGAAATGTGCAGGTTATTGGCTCCTCCAAATGTGCGCAGTTTGCCACTGTTTAGTAGCTTAGCATAAAATTAGGAGAAAGCATCAGATTTTTGTCAAGCAAGTTGACTTTTCTAAAGTTTTTTTTCAGAGGTCTGTGCAAACCTGAATGTATCTTCTCGGGTGTCTGAAGGCACATGGGAATGTTTATACTGTGCGAGCTGCAGTCAGTTGACCTTGTTGGAGGGAATTCCCAGTTTTGAAGAATATGTTACCTGGTTTCAAGGCTGGTGTGTTTCCTTTTGCCCATATTTTTAGGTTAGCTGCTTAATTTTGATCATTTTCTTGAATCTTCTTTTAGAAAGCTGTAGAAATAATTATAGTCTAGATCCGCTGAGTTCAATTTTAATGTCATGACTCTTCCCTTAAACCACTCTTGTAGACATCATGGCCTTAAAAATCATGGTGTAACTCACTCAGAGGAGGTTTTTGTTTCTAGGRGCTCAGGACAGGGCTACAGCAAAAGGATGATAAACTATAAAGACTTTTTTTTCTTCTTCTTTTGTGAGAATTATGAGTATTTCCAGCA